ATTCTCCAGCTCTACCCTCACTGGGGTGATAGTTTCAGTTGAACAGTTCCCCTTTCCCAGAACAAGAGTTCATCAAACATCCAGTGAAGTTTGAAAGTATTTTCCTCTGCATTTTTCTTTGTAAGAGGAGGCCACTTTAAAGAATGCACTGGAACTCTTGCTTTAAGATAAGGCGAGTAGTGTTCGGGCGCAGCACTACAGGATTTGAAGCAGTGCTGAGTTTTTGGCTCCTAAGTTAAGTGCTGACACCGAACTCCATAGAAAGTCACAGCAGCGCAGTCTGCGTTTAGCCAGAGTGAGGAACGCCGGGAAGGAAGCGCTCACGGGTGAATTTCTCCTCTTCTTGGGCAGATTATACACAGTATGCATATTTTGTTAATTAACTTCTTAAAAGCCGGGCTTTTGTTTTGGCTTCTTGTGAGCACCATCACTTGCTTGTTTCAGACCTTTCTCCTTGTGAGTTTGTATCTTGAAAGATAACCATACTGCTCAAAGCATGAAGCCACCTCAAGTTCCTGAAATGAAGACCTTTTTCTGTAGGACAGATTCCAAGTTTGCCTGACATATTCTGAATTTGAACTGATCAGAAGTGGTTAGATCTTAGCTTCCTGGATCCTATATTTATATTATTATACAACTACATTTTTTATCAGCTGTGTCTCCCAACCCCTGCCCTTACACATACAGGTTCAAAACCTTTTGTAGAAGAAAACAATAATCCAATCTGCATGTCATGTTGACTTTAAAGTCACAACTCTGCTTGCCTTGTTCCTCACTGGAATGGGTCTTTCTCTCCTTCCTGGGCTCACTAGATAGCAGGCTCACCAGCCCTGACCCCTCCAGTGTTCGGTGACTAGGACACGTGGTGCCTAGGAAGCTCGGCCCGCGAAGCCCGCATCAGCAGGCTGAGCCAGTGAGCTGAAGCAGTGCTCGTGGACTCTATCAACGGAGGGTTTTTTTTTTTTTTTTTTTTGAGGGTTTTCTTAAAATGCAGTTTGTGGGATGATTGAGAGTGAGTTAGGTTCAGCTTTGTGTAGAGATAGGATGTGTATCGTTACCATTCTGTGGTTTTTCTGACCCTGTGTGCTTCGTATCTGTGTTTCTTTGGTGCAACCCTTTGATGCGCTGGTATGTGCCCCATTATGTACCACTCTGCTGCAATAAGCCCCTTGCATACCAGAAAGCTACGTGTTAGATAGTTCATGTTTCCTCCGCAGTGGTCTGTCTTGGTATTGCATTCTTGCCATAAGAACCTAAGAAGTGTCCTTCATAGGGTTGCTTTGCATGTGTGTAGGGGGTACAGGGTCAGCTGCCTCTTCCCCAGTCCTTGTGCATGAAACCCACCTAAGGATCCAGATGGAGCAGCTTGAGTCTCCATCTAAGCAGCAGCTTCTCACTGCAGGGTGTGTGGGCGATGGAACCTGGGGTGCTCTTCAGCCCCCAGAGGTCAGGCAGCCCGGGGAACAACACGGCGACCTCTGCTTCCCACATGCAATTCAACCCCTGGAGCCAAAGCTTCCCAATGCAAGCTATAAAATACCCATGTATCTTTCCTAAGCCTGTCTCCTAACTGGATGGGAAACTCTGCTAAGTGAGTTTTAATTTTAAAAGGCTACTCTTTCCCCCTTGAGCCAAGGGGAGAAAAGTATCTGGGCATTAAAAGCTTATGTATACCAATGTTATTTTTGCTGTCTCTCCCTCAGTGATTAAATGCAATTTTATCCACTTAGTAATCCTATGATTATGGCTGCATTAGATTAGGCGAGTGGACAGATAGAAGAAAAACTAAGTGTAATGAGGTAATCCTTTATTTTTGCTCTGCCTGTAAGTTAAAAATTCCCAGGACTTTCAGATGGACAATAAAAATAATCACAAAATTGTCCCCTGAAATGGAGATAGATATCACTCCTGAGCATGAGCCATTTTCTTAAGTTTTGAAATCAGCTGCTAAGCTTCTTAGCACTTCTTGGTGCCCGGCTGAGTCCAGAGGAGCCGTGGCATCCGCCTTGGGGTGGTGCTCACGGCTGATGCCAGGACGAGCCACCACCAGGGTGACACATGGGCTGGGTCATTGTTCTCACAGGGCGGCAGCCTCCCGAATTAGAACCCCGTAGGCAAGAGGGAAGTCAGCCTCACAATGGGAAGCGATGTTTGCTTCAGATACGAAATTGAAGTCACTGGGTGATGTTGGGCTCTGTGAGGGCCACCTCCTGAAGGCAGGAACACTGGAGTCTGAGAAGAGCGGCTTTTGGGCCAATTTGGGTCATCTGGTTTGTGGCCCCAGATCTTTCACCATGGAACTCAGGATGGTGGGTTACAGCGCACCCTGCCTTTCAGCAGCCAGACCCCGAGATGTTTTAACATCAGCAATGAATGTCTCCACCTTCTCCCAGTGCTCTTTGCAGGGGCTGAGCCAGCTTAAGGGAGGTGGGGCAGAGTGGACAGTGGGGCCGCAACACTGTCCCAGCCCTGAGTGCTCTGTTAGCTGAGGAAGGAGAGTGCCAGGCAGTGTCTCTCTCAAGGAATGGCCTCCACTGTTGTCCTGGTCTGTCGGGGGAGCTGAGTTTCAGACTACAGTGCACTTGGGCTGCCTGCAGAGTTCTTCATACTTGGGCGATGTTTGGACATCCTCAGGGGTCAAGCTGGGACCTGGGTCCATACTCCAGAAAGCCATCAGCCTGTGACTCAGAACAAAAAGGTCACTGGCTGGATGGAGGCCTCTGCTTCCTGGGGCAGCCTAGATGTCTTTAGGGGCTCCCCTCAGCAGATGCTGGTGGAGTTAGGTTTCAATGTGACTCAGATCCACATGGCCCGCCTTCTCCTTCGTAGGATTCCTCTATTATGCAGTGCAGGCTGGCCTTGAATCCACTTATGTAGCCCTGGCTGGCCTCACTCTCTGCAGTCCTCCTGCCTCAGCCTCCCAAGTGCTAGGATTACAGGCGTGTGCCATCGTGCCTGGCTCCTACACCTTTTTTTTTTTTTTTAACTTTTCAATCTGATCCTTTCCCCTCAATATTAATACAAACAACTTTCTTTCTCCTTCCCTTTTTTTTCTGTGCTATATTTCAGATGCTATATTGTCATTTATCAGCTTAAAAAGGTTTAGCAGAACAATTACAGCTGTGTTAGAGTCCTGTTGCTTAGAGGAGCATTTCTGTGCGTTCTAAAGGTTAAGCTTCTGAAGTTGTTGGCCATGCAGATCAGTGTCTCCCTTTTCTCTACAGGCAGACATCCTAAGTTTTGAAAAATTAAGTGAGAAAACTGTCAGCATTGAATTAAAGATTGTACGCTCTGCTGATACTGTCCAGAAACGGTGTCGGCTCGTGGGAAGCCTCAAGTCTGAGGTCTCGGGGAGGAACAGATAGCTTGAAATTTTAGCCGCTTCTGTGGAGGAGGCAAAGGAATGGCCGGGGTGGAGGAACAGGGAGGGCAGGCTGCTGATGCAGGGGACCTTTGTAGGTTTTCCTTTCGCTTATCTGCTAGACGCTGTGTCCAAAATCTGGAGGCAGACATTGTCTGCCTAGTACCAGCCCCCTAAAAATGCCCGTGGCGGCGATTGCCTGTGTTCCCAGGCAAAGCTTAGTGTCAGCAAGTGCTCAACTCAAGAAAGAGCTGAGCTGTGAGACTGTGAGGTGAAGCCAGTTCTCAGATAAGCGGGGAGACGGTCACATGCGCGAGAGGTGGACTTGCGGCGACAGTAGGAGTTGACAGCTGTGGAGCATAGGCGAACCCCAGGCCCCGCCTTTCAGTCCGTCGTCCCCTGTTCGCGAGGGCGGCTTTGCTCTCAGCGCGTGGGGCGCTTGTTTGCTGGCCGGTTCAGAGAACAGAATAACCTGGACGTAAAGGCAGAACAGCCTAGGGATTTCTTTTGAAGCCAGAACAGCTGTTCCATCTTCAGAGGGCTGGGTTAGGAGAGGAGGTCAGAGGAGATGACTGAAGCGGCAGAGGGGCTCGAGAGCCGCTCTGTCCCCTGCCGCTTGCCCTTCCGCGGGCACAGTGTCCTCACTCTCCCTCTCTTCCCGCTGGAGTCTGAAGCGTACTCAAAAGCCTGTGATTCATCAAAGTACCTGCAGGCTGCCCCTCGGCAGCTTTAGATTCACGGCTGTTCAGGGAACTCACCTGCCTCCCGGGACACACAGTGCTGCGCTTAGGCAGAACACAGCTGGCTCAAAACATAAATTACTGAAAATGGTACCAGGGCTCACCCTGCCCTGGCCCTCCGTGCTAAGCCCAAACAGAAATCTGACTCCCAGAATGGGGCAAAGTGGCCTCAGCCTTTGCCCAGGGACAGGCAGCCATGTGCTCAACCTCCTCCTTACGGAGTTCCCCTGCAGTGGCAGCGTGGTGCAGGAAGGCGGTGGGCGTTGATATCAGCAGTCTTTAGGCTTGGCTTCTTTCCAGTCTCACCAGGGTTGGAGGGAAGAAGTCAGGCTTTGGAGACTTGAGTTCTAGGTTACATCTTCAGCCCATTTTAGGCTGCTAGAGGGGAAAAAATGGGGCGTGGGCAGCTCCCCTTGTGGTGTTTACAGAACTTGGATGCTTGACAGACAGCATCAGGCTAATTGTTCTTGAGGCAGGAAATTTGTAGCAGAGGAAGCAGGTGTCGCAGGATGATTACCACAGTTCCAAATTACAGCATTAACTGCGAGCTCGCTCAGGTTTGGCCCAAAGATGAGGGTTTGGGGGAGGCCAGACACACCCCTTGAGTTTCTAGGGGGACACTGACATGATCCCCTGTATTACAGGGGAACGCGCTTGGGTACACCTAGAACCAGACAGCCCCATGCACCAATGTTTCCCACATCCATTCCTCTTTATTTCTTTTTTCTTTTTCTTTTCGGCTTTCAGCATCCCATACTTTTAGAAGACATGTGTGACTTGAGAGTGAATTCTTACTTTTCGAATTGTTTTCAGACATTTCATGTTCATGTAAACTTGGCTTATTGATTTCCTGATTTTTTCTTTATTTTTTTTGTTTTGTCCATTTTATTTTCAATCAGCTACATCAAATGGGTCTTTGGAGGGCCTGGATAACCAGGAGGGAGGGGTGTGCCAGACAAGAGCCATGAAGATCCTCATGAAAGTTGGACAAGGTAAAGACCGCCGGCCGCTCCGCAAGGCCACTGTCATCTGGTGCTGCCCCAGCTCACGTGGCCCCAGTGGCAGCATCCACCCTGCTCCCTGTCCTCCTTCATGTGAAGTGGACACCCCTGTGCAATTTTCCCCAGCTTGATGTAAAAGGCTTCACTTCCGGGAGATCACTCTAAAAGCTAAGGTCAGCTAGGCAGAGGGTCTATTGCCTTCTAAGGTCTATTTCTTTTAAAAACAACAACAAAACCCACAAAAAACCACCTTGATTCAAAACCCAAGGCCTATCTCTGCAGTTTGCTCACTTCTAAGACGTGCCTGCTGGCGAGCTGTGTTCATCATGCCTTTTCTCAGAGACAACCTATTGTGCAGAAAGACTTACTGTTTAATTAGAAATCGGTATAGTAGTCAGTCAACTTGCTCAGTTAAATTGAAAAGTCACCTGCAACACTGCCTGCCAAATGCAAGATACCCCATAGTTTCCACAGATGGCCCATCACCCAAACCTCTGAAAGAGCTAGTGTGACCATTTTGTTTTAAAAGGAAAATTATATTCTTGTGTTTCACAGTGCTTTGCATAGAGAATCGTATGCTCATTGCTATCCGTGCTTCTGGTACATACATAAGCCTAGATATCCTTGGATGTCTGTGCTGTGACTAATGGCTGGTTTTTCGTATAGATGCCAGTTCTGCCGGGTCAACCAGGAACAGCGGTCCAACGAGACGTCCAGAACTAGAAGCTGGTACAAATGGAAGGAGTTCAACAACTAGTCCCTTCGTAAAACCAAATTCAGGTGCGGCAGTGTGGTTTGGGGCGCGGTGGTCAGCGTGCACCTAGCCGCATCCTAGCAGCCCAAGCGGTAGGGCAGGGTCCCAGAACTTCTGCTCCTGCGGAATTAGGCAGTCATGCCAGACATCAGCGGTCTTGGCCACCAGTGAGTCATTATTAATTATACTCTGTGAGATGAGCGAACTCATTCCCATAAACGCCTTCCTATCAGAAGAGCAGAATGCATCAGATGGAGGAGCCAGTTATTAGTGCTACTGGGGCAGACCACAATTTTCATTGGCTGACACTTCATCAGGCTCGCTGTCAACACCGGCTTAAAGCTAATGTTAATGTATATATAATTAATGCTCTAATCCCTCATCTAATTATATGTAATCCGCAAAGAGTCAAACCGACCCTGTTCTGAATTTTAGATGGTAACAGTTTAAAATACTGCATACTGCTATTTTCTGGTGGTCAGCACTCATTTTTTTTTTCCTCCTCACATTTTCTGTATATAATACTAAACAGCTCCCTGGCCACTGTTTAAAATAGCAGAGAAGATTGGCTGTCATTGAACTTAATTTCTTTAACACTCTTGGAACAAACAGCCGTGTATTCGTTACTATGCTAATAATGAATTTTTCATCCAGTGCGTGCACGTCAGCAGTTTTGTATTAGAGAGCCGTGTGCTTGGTTGGTAGTTTTACGGATTTAGCCTTTGCAGCAGCATTCTGTCTCTTTCCAAGAGAAGTTGTTATTTCTAACTTTCAATGACAAGACATGTCAAATTCTTGTGACAAACTGATAAATGGATAATATAATGATGCCAGCCAATTTTTAGTGCTTAACATTTGGGTTGGCAGTCTGTTCAGCGCGAGTCTGCAGCCTTCCAAATATATTTTAAGTGTAAATCAAATAATACAAACGAGTTACGATTTGAACCCTCTCCCAGCCGCGCTCCTTCCTGCTGTCACCGTGGAGCTGGGCGGTGCTTGGCGTGCAGAAGGCAGGCTCTTTGTGCTGGGATGCCGGCCCACAGGAAGGGCGGAGTGGCCTCAAGCTGCCTGGCCGGCCGCGGCAGCCTCCTGCTTTCCTCGCCCTGCTCCTGTCCCTGCTGGAATAGCAAGTTCAAAGATGAGGCAGCTCAGGGTGGGCTGTCGCCATGTCTGCTCTGAGCGTGTGCTTGGAGCTGGTGAAAGTCCCTCTACGAGATCTCTCTCTCTCTCTCTCTCTCTCTCTCTCTCTCTCTCTCTCTCGATGGCTGATGTCTCCCAGTGGTACCATTAGCTATTTTAAATTTTTTTGAGTACCGTTAAGCCTTTTTATTCATCACTTTTTTCCCAAGAAGGGAGGGGAAAAGTCAGACGCGCTAACAAAGCAATTAGGAAATAGGAAAGCATATATGTGGGTTGGGCAAAAGTAGCCATGGTAACACCTGGGGATGGGTCCTGGGGCCAGAGGGGGCTTGGCCGAAGCCGGGAGTCGGGGGCGGGAATCAGGCTCAGACGGGCACCCTTCCGCTTTGTCCTCCCTAGCAGCTCGGGGCTACACACAGAGCGTGGTCGGCTGGCACTGAACCCAGAGCGAGGCGAGGTGCCATCCTGGTGCGGCCCCCCTCCTGAGCATGGTTCATGGAGCACCCTGGAAGCTGCGGGTGGCCCCAGGACAGCAGTGACTGAGTCTGTGCTTCTCCTGCATCCCCAGGTTCCAGCACCGACGGCAGCAGTGCCGGACATTCGGGGAACAACCTCCTCGGTTCCGAAGTGGCCTTATTCGCGGGGATCGCATCCGGATGCATCATTTTCATTGTTATCATCATCACGCTCGTGGTCCTGCTTCTCAAGTACCGCCGGAGGCACCGCAAGCACTCGCCACAGCACACGACCACGCTGTCTCTGAGCACACTGGCCACGCCCAAGCGCGGCGGCGGCAACAACAATGGCTCGGAGCCCAGTGACATTATAATCCCGCTCAGGACTGCGGACAGCGTCTTCTGCCCACACTACGAGAAGGTGAGCGGGGACTACGGGCACCCGGTGTACATAGTCCAGGAGATGCCTCCACAGAGCCCCGCCAACATTTACTACAAGGTCTGAGGCCGGTACCTTCCCTCCCAGACCCGGGTGGCCGCCGCCCGGTATGACTGAGCCGGCCGCCAGAGAAGCCCGGAGCCGGACAGCTTTCTAGTCTGTAGCATTTTGGCCTCGGTGACCGCACATCTTCCCCGGGAGCTGGGAGACTGTGGCCACAACGCCACTTGGATGGATGGCAGCGCGTCCCCAAGCCATGAGCCACAGCTGTGCAGGCCTCGCCGGCCCCCAGGGGACACAGGGCGTGTGGACAGGCCTCTCTGCTGGGTGTCTCCCCATCCCTCCGCTCGGACCTCGGGCTAAGTGAGGCTTCCCACGATCGCTTGCATCCTGTCCACACTATCTCACTCCTTCTGTTCCCCAGGGCTCTGCCGCCCTGCGCTGAGCCCTCACCCCACATCCTATCCTGCGTCACTGATGGGACATACCACGGCGGCCTGCTCTGGAGCAGCAGTCCCTTGTGGAAAGCTGGAGGGTCCCCTGCCAGCATCAGCAAGGAAGAGGAGGGGAGGGCTGGCTGCCTCCCACCCAGAGCGGGACGGAGGAAGGGAGTCTATCCCACCCCACAGCAGTCGGCGGCTCAGCCCAGGTGCAGGGGGACAGCAGAACCAGGGGCAGCGGGGTGGCCGGGCGAGGGGCGCGGCCATCTGCTCAGGCAGGGCAAGACTATCTCGGTACTGGCAATAAGACGCACAGCTGCAGAGCTGTCGGGAGTCGGTCTGCTTAGGGTGCCTATGCCATGGAGGCAGACCCAGCTGCTAAACTTCTCACATTTATGAAACACAGGGAAAGCATTTAGGGTGGCAGAGAGCCAAATCTGACCTAGCCGTTGAGGAGCCAAAGGTCCAGCCGGCAGGCTGTGGTTCCACATCCACAGACATCAGTCAGGAATTCTCAGCTAGGAAAAGGCAGGTCAGAGCCCCAGGGCCAGTCCTGCCCGCCTGACCGCCCGCCCGCCCCGTTGAGCCTTACACACTTTGGTTTATGGTGGTGCTGTCCAGGCTGCGAGCGAGCGAGGCTGCGGAAGGGACAGGGTCTAAGCGAAGCACATGGCAAACCTCTCAGAGTCCTTAAGACGGAAGTCAATGATGATGTCGAGGGGAGAAGGAAGGTAGGACGTATTTATAATAGGTATATAGAACGCAGGGGATATAAGATGAAAGATTTTTACTAATATATATTTTAAGATTGCACACAGTACACACCAGAAGATGTGAAATTTATTTGTGGCAATTAAGCAATCCTGAGGCTCAGTGCTTTAAAAAAATTTTTTTAAAAAGACAAAATTGGACAGCACCTGGGGAAAAAAAATGTAAAAAACAATAACCACTCCAAAAGTTACAATCATGAGAGCTAATAGGAAAATGACAGTCCTCCGATGGCATCTCATGGAACTGTAGACTAGGAAATAGAGCCCAGCACCAGAAAACCAATGTGACCGTGTCATTGTTTGGTGAGGACAGGATGTCCCGGCGCCTGTGTCTGTGGTGGGCTTTTCCTTGCCTCGTGGGCTGAAGTGTTCTCTAAAATCCAGCAGGTCACCCAAGGGGGGTGGCACACCCCCCTCTCTTCACCTTTCCCCCATCCCATCCCCACCCTCGTGGAACCCAAGAAGAGGAGACAGGAAACCTACTTTTTATGTGCTATGCAAATAGACATCTTTAACAGAGTTCTGTTACTATGGTAACGCTTTGCTTTCTGAATTGGGAGAAGAAAATGTGGCGACAGCGTTTGGAGGTTCTCAGACCTCCAGCGAGCACCTGCAGAAGAGTGAGTTGTCACAGAAGTGATTATCCCCATATCCTGAACCTGAAATGTTGGTCCAAAGTGCATGTGTGTGTGTGTGTGTGTGAGTGGGTGTGTGGCGTACATGTGTACATATATGTATAATATATATCGCCAATATATATTATATATATCTATATCATATTTCTGTGGGGGGTTGCCATGGTGACCAGCCACAGTACATATGTAATCCTTTTCATCACTCTAGCCTCTCCTTTCTGTGCATTCATACAAGATTTTCTTGTAAGCCATCAGAAATTCCTCATAGGATTGGGGAGAGGGACAAGGAGAGAAAACATGGCGGAAAAAAAAAGTTTGATTTTAATGAAATCAAGTGTGTGTATCCTCGGTTGGCTACCTTTGGGTTATGTGCTAAACTGTGAAAAAAAAAAAAAAAATCAGATGAACCGGTGAAGAGTTACCCGCAACCAATTGAAAAATGAAAGTGTTCTGTGCGTCTGTTTCGTGTCTGGTGCAAGCCAAATGACAATCTACCAACGGTCCCCTTACTTGGAGTTGGTTCTGCTCTGGAAAGTTACTGTAAATGCCTTGCTTGTATTCTCATCCCTGGTCTTCGGGATCACACCATCATGTTTAAGTGAAGAAGGTGTAAATAGGTTCCGAATTTGCTGTCCTTGGATTTGGGGTGTTGCAGTAGCCTTATTCACGTTTTTAATAAAAAAAATACACATGAAAACAAGACAGAAATGGCTTTTCTTATCCAGATTGTGTACATAGAGCAATGTTGGTTTTTTTATAAAGTCTAAGCAAGATGTTTTGTATAAAATCTGAATTTTGCAATGTATTTAGCTACAGCTTGTCTAACGGCAGTGTCATTTCCCCTTTGCACTGTAAGAGGAAAAAATGGTATAAAAGGTTGCCAAATTGCTGCATATTTGTGCCGTAATTATGTACCATGGATATTTATTTAAAATTTCGTTGTTCAATTTGTAAGTAACACAGTATTATGCTTGAGTTATAAATATTTTTTTCTTCCTTTGTTTTATTTTAATAGCCTGTCACAGGTTCTCAGTCTGCTTTAGTTCCACATCATAGTTAGCTCCTCAGACCACAAGATCCGTGAAGTCACATTCCACGTCTGTTTCAAAACTGAATTTGTTCTTAAAAAAATAAAATATTTTTTTCCTATGGAAAAATCGCCTTCAAAGTATTCTCCTTTTCTTTTTCTTTTCACTTTTCATTCTTTTTCATTTCTTCTTTGGTTTTGCCCCAATATTCTGTTTCTCCAAAATTACCATGAGCCAGAGAGGAGAGCTGCAGCCCTTCATGTGCCCACTCGCCTCCTGGTTTGAGGAAAGCTCACTCAAATCCTTGCCCTCCTGGGCAGGACAGGCCTGGGGCATCTCCCGGCAAGCATTGTGAGGAGCCCCCCACAGAGCAAAAGGGGAAATGGATTCTTCTCTTGCAGTGGCCTGACTCCTTTCCACTGAAGCAAGGTGGTATGCCCTTGGCACCTTATTTATTCTCTCAGAACAAACCCCAAGGAAGGGAAAAAGTCAACTGTCCTAGAAATGAAACATCAGTGTAAGCGCATTAGTGACTGTACTCAGCCAGGCCGGGGCCAGGAGGTTCTGTGTGTCCTCCACATCTCCTTCCTGGGTGGGGGGTCTTGGGCCTCCTGTGGTTTTGGGGTCTGCGTTATCTCCATTTCAGCCCCAAGCTGTGAAGGTGAGGCCCTGCACCTGCCTTCTCTCAGCTCTCACTGGGAATGGGATGAGTTGGGCAGATCTGGGAGGCACCTGGGGTCAGGGAACAGGGGGTTCCTGGCCCCACAGGGAAGAGGAGGCCAGACAGCCTCCCCAGGAAACGCCCGTGGATGCTAGATTGGGAACCATGGATTTTTCAAGTTTTAGCTCTTTATACTGCTAGTTAATAAATGTGCTCTATTAAAAAAAGAAAAAGATTCCAGGAGGCCTATGGTTTAGTTTGATGATCCAATGGTTGCTTCATCTCCCTCCCTCAACTCCATGAAGCCCAGTTGTCTGAGGTCAGAGGTCAAGGTTCAGGGTGCAGTGTCCAGTCCAAGTGTCTCAGCTGGATGCTTGACCCCACGTAGCAAGAATTAGGTTCTGTGTGGGCTGAAGAACAGTGCTGTGTGCTCTGCTTCCGCTCAGTACCCGTGTCGCAGTGTAAATTTCTGACAACGGTGTCACATTTTTACCCTCGCTTCTGAGACCACAGTGGAGCCCACCAAGCTTGAAGCAGAGAAGCAAGCTACATCCAGGGGTCCTGGAGGGAGGTGTCCAACCTGCACAGGCTCCTTCCCAGGGGGCCGAGCAGACGCCCCGATCTGTCTGAAAGGCAAGGCCCTAGCAGGGTGCCCTAGCAGCCCACATCCACACGTTTCCCACAGTGCCCACGCCTCTGAGCTCCCTGCTGGAAGAGCTGCTCCTTCAAGCACTGGGGAAGGTGGCCAATGGACGGAGGAGAAATTAGCCTGAGAACATCCCTTCTGTGTAGCTGCTCCCCACCTGCCGCCAGGAAAGCTAAGATCCAGGGTAGTGAAATATACTTGTCTACTACAGGTTAAGAAGAACAATTCTCTTTTTCATCAGGATAGGAAATAGATCTTTCTCTGCTACAAAAGAGACCTAATAGATTTCTTCCCCGAAGAGTCAAGGTTAGCATGTAACAGCGATGCCAGGTCACAGAGCACAATGCACAGAAGTGGAATTCTGGAAGTAAGGGCCCACGGAGTGGTGAATGGACTCAACACATCTACTTACGTGCAACACAGAATGACTCTGCCATGAAAGATGAAGTTTGTGCGGAAGTGCATGCACCTTGGGCACGTTACATAAATCAGGCACATTAGCTTCCATATTCAACATAGTTTCTCTTACATGAGACAACCAAAATATAAATAAAGTGCAAAATGAAAAGCATAAGAAGTAGGAGATCTGCAATTGCGAAGGAGAATGAGAGATGGGGTGAGAGAAGGCGATAAAAAAGAACTGAAAAATGGAGACAAAGGACAACCCACTTGGGATGCCTCTGTCTCTCTCAGAAGCTTTGCTTCTCCAGTAAACATAGTTTTCTTTAAAATAGAAATGGGGGTAGAGCTTTTGCAAATGTAAAGGGAACCGAGAAATGGGAGGACCAGGGAGGGAAGAGAAGGAAACGGGTGCGAAGTGGTGACCACGTGTCACGCACATGTGCCAACCCCCATGGGGACTGTGATTGGTGCTGCAAACACACACTAGTAAAATCTAAATTATTAATAAAGGAAAGACATAATAGGTATTCTTCACCATGGTCCAGGGCTTCAGTTCGGCTTGCTTGCATCTTAGTGGATTTGGAATTTGGTTGTGATAATTACACTGTCCATTCACCTGCAGACGGATTTCCAGTGTTGTCAGGACAAAGAGCACGTCCCATGCCTACTCCAGCCTAGGTCAGGAACCTTTCCTCAGTCAGTGGTGAGGAGGTGGCACGGGACTGCAATGCTTATGTTTAATAGGACAGTATGCAGGCAGAGGGGTCAACATTTTCGTGACCCACATGTGCTCCAAAAAGCCAAGGATATACCCAGGTCAAGATTTTCATATTTTGTTAAAAAGGCAAAATCTCATAAGAACCATTCTTCACTCAGAATAAATATGTATAAGCATCCTTGCTGGTATGGAATTATGTGGGCAGGGGAGACAGTAAGACCCCATCATGGTCTCTGCCCATTGTGTGTGGCTGTGAAGAAGAGCAGAGCTTTGTCTATGTCTCCAGCCCACGTCTGGACAGGGTCCCCTACTTATCGAGAGGGATGGACATTAAACATTGAAGGTCATCTAAGTGACCTTATTTCCAGGATTTGAAATAAGGCCAGCAGCAACTAAACTTGGACAAAGACAACCTTCCCAAGCTTCTCTCTGTCAGGGTGTCCCTTGGCCAAAGCTCTGGGCTGAAGCAGGGTGACATCCAGTGAGTTTCCTCTCCCTGGCCTCCTGCTTCTGGGGCCTGGAACAGGGCCCCTCTCCATCCCTTCCTAGAATGGAAGTCCAGAGGCTCGAACTTGGTGACTTGCACACACTGAGCCCCTGGAAGCCGGAGTCCCAAGCACTCAGCCCTTGAGCCCTGATGGTTAAACAGATCTTTCTTTATTCAGGTCCCTGCCAGCCGGGCCCCAGCACACCACACACACTGCCTACTTAGGTGGCTGTGGGCTTCTCCCGCCCGCCCACCTGGCCCAGCTTCACCATCTTCCTCGTGTCCCTGAGAAGAGCAGCTACTGCTTTTCGCGCTGGTGCACAGAGCATTTCCTCATGCTCCTGGATTATTTATGCCTCCAATTCTGTAGTCTGCCACAGAAAGCTGTACAACTGGAAAACATCTTTTAGCTGATAATAGAGCTATTACTTTCCAACAAAGTGCCATTCATGCCTAATAAAGAGATTAGAGGGTTTATATGCATGTTGTTGTTAAAGGTGTAAGAATGCTTTACCAACAAAGAAAGTAAAAATTAATGCCAAGATCTAGGGCCCTCCACGGGGTGAAGGGAAGGGGCACTGAGGAAACCCCGTCCGTTGTCCATCCTCCAAGGGGCCCCAGGTGCAGCGCTGCGTCTCTTCATTCTTTATCGTTGAGTAATTTACATCTTACTCTGGATTCTAAGATGGGAGAGAGATGACCATAGGTCCAAACTCCTCTGTCTGGCAGGGGGTAGGGCTGGCTGAGGTTCCTGCAGAGAACGTTCCTGTGCTCTGGGTGGACTCACAGGACCACCCCACTGGGAACACCTGTCCAGAAGCTTTGATTTCAGACCACGCTGCTGATCCTCAAAGCTGACAAAACGTCTCTGCTAGGCCTTCTTCTGGACCCTGACACTTCCCGAGATCTAACTCAATTCCATGATGTACTTCAGCAGTACAGCTCATGAAACAAACACGTCCAAAGCGCCGTTTCTGCTTCCCGAAGAGAGGACATGCACAGCTTAGCAGAGCCCATCGCAGAACGGCAGAGAGAGCGCTGGCTTCGGCCACCCTCCGCGGAGCCTCTTACTGAGCAGCCGAGACACCAGCAAAGAGGCCGCCGAAGAGACTCTTGCTTATCTGCAAGCCTAGAGACTCAGGAGCAAAACCAGACACTCACTCTTTCACTCCCAGGACGCGCACCCACTCTGTCCTTGTACGTCAGGTGACGGCAAGTGTGGGAGATTACTACTCAAAGATGGGGCTGCCTCTAGTACCGGTTCAATCCAGTCAGCAGCCCAGAAGCTCTCCAGAGCAGCAGTTAGGCATCCCAGACACTCATCTGAGAGGGAGTCATGGCTGACCACTGCTCCACGTTT